CAGAAAAATAAGCTACGCACCCTTGATTATGATAACATTGACCTCAAAACTAAATTAATCTTTGTTGTATGATATGGACGGACATTTGCACCCAGCTGTTGGTCTTTCAGAGAGCACCAGGGGCCGAAGAGAGAGCCAAGAGCGGGCTTTACATACTACAAAGATCCGTTTGTGTGCGGATATTCACTCTGCAACCAAAAATGAAAGCTTGTGTTTAAGAAGGATACTGTGAAATGACTTTAAGAGGTTTGTTCTGATTACGGCAGGAACAACAGGAAATAAAACTGCATAAAACTCCAAAAATAAAGTAGGAAAAAGGGGCCAGGAGCAATTATCAAACATTCAAAACATCAATGACACAGGACACAAAAACTGAATAATAACCATACTATGAAAGGCAGAAAAACAAAGTTATCCATTCATGATCAGCATTCATTCTGTTAAAATTGGGTCAGTGACAACAAAAGCACAAACTGGTTCTCACACCACAGACACATGTAATATGTAAGCAAAGCCTTACTCACACATACCAATAAACTTCGGAAAGCCCTGGAATGACATACTAAATGTCGGGGTCAAAGGTTTAAGCAAATTGTTTCCTGACCTACTCTTTCCCACGACTATGTTCAGAGCATGTGTTTATGTCTATAGATCTTCTGGCATATTGGCAGCGACAGCAGTCTTGGCACTCGGTCATAATGACCTGACTGAACTCCAGGTATCCAAGATTACCAGCTCCAGCAATCTGCACACCTCAACTGTGAAGCTTTGAATAGTATCGCTGAAGAAAAACATCAGTAGACAACTTTGAAAAACACCTATACACTATACTAAAAATACAATTTAAAGAACCAAGTAATAAAAGGAAATAGTTCAAGAAGGAGCTTACTAGTGGTCAATGGATTTAATGTTAAGTTAATCAAACTTTATTGTCTATCCCACAGGGGCAGAAAAAAACTCAGAATCTTTGTAGAGTTATCTTTAATTATATAATAATGTCCATCCATATACTGTCCACAATAAACTGAAACTTCTCAAATTCTTAAAATGAATAAGTTCAAAATGAAAACTGTGTCATTTATTCACCCTCAAATCGTTCCAAACTTTTTGTGGAATCAGTAGAACATGGCCAATAATCAGTACATAATTAAAGTTTGGTCGGTTCCAATAACAATTATATTGGTTATACCATATTGATTCAAAATTTTTTTAGAATACATTGCATTTTTATGGTGCCTGCCTTTTGATGCTTGACAGCCATGGTCACTTATGAACTGCCATGGAAAAATCTGCATAAATATTAAATAAAACAAAGTAACAGCAGGTTTGGAATGGATATGCGGGTGAGTAAATACTGGCATTTATTTTCATTTGGGGGGTTATTTTAAGGTTAGATCAAACAAATCACATAAGCTTACTTGAGTGAGCCTGTTTTGAATGTCCAATTGCCTGATTTCAGTGTTCAAATGCTGGAGCTAACAGCGCTAATGTGGTTGTTTTGTGGCTATTTGTAAAAACACAAAAGGCAGGTTGTCAAAAGCCTGACCAGTCAAAAACAGACAGCAGCCTTCAAGTCCTACAGATAACCTTTAACTGAACCATCTTGATAGGAGCCTCCTACAGCTGCCTTTTGTCTTGGGTCACTGCAGGGGCTGAAGACAGAAGTTGCTTTTTAAACTGATGTATAACAAGATTCTCAGTCAAATCTTGACATGACTGTTTACAAGAAGTGTGTATGATCTTAGATCAGGAAGAGCAAACTCTGTCAGCAGATTCCCTCATGAAATAAGTCCTTATATTTAATTAACTAAATGCTTCCTTTGATAACTGTAAAAAAAAAATTATAAGTTAATTTACATTCACAATCTTATATGTATAAGCTTCATAGACAAGGTTTTCTTTCTTACTGATAAATGCATCATGTATATGTATCTTCATGAGCAAACCTTTTATTGGTTAGTTATCAATATTGTATTCACATACACTACTGTTCAAAAGTTTGGGGTCAGAACTTTTTTTTATTCTGTTTTCTTCAGCATGGATGCATCTAATTTATCAAAGTGATAATAAAGGCCTTTATAATGTTTAAATAAATGCTATTTTTAGAGCTTTTTATTAATCAAAGTATCATAAAAAAGGCATATTAGAATCATTTCTGAAGCATTATGTGACACTGAAGCCTGCCGTAATGTCTGATGAAAATGTATAAATTAGATATTAAAATATATTAAAATGATGAGGCTACAGGCATCCTGGAGTTCAAAGAACAAGGAAGTCTTTTCATCTACTCACTTGCTGGCTGACATTGCCCAATTCAATTCATTTCCGAAACCTAAAACACTACAACACTACAACTACAACGAAACGCATGGACTAAACAATTACTATCCAAGCCTTGCAAGCACTAACAGGTCTGACCAGTCTGTTCTACAAAAGACTGAATCACCACATCCAAGCCCTGCAAGCAATTCTTTTAACAGCACACACTGACAGTTCCATCCACACACTCCATACAGATGAATACAAAACATTAGAACTCTGGACTGGCTCCTCTGAGACCATCATACAGACTTTAAACAAATAAATGACATTAGGAGATGCAACAAACTCAAGGAAATCGCTTTAATAATAACAGTGGGTTTAAATGCCAGCTTTCCGTACTCAGCCGAGCACTGTGTGATTAAGTTTCAATCAAGCTCTTTGTTCTTGATTTGATTAAAGTCCACGCAACTCTCACAGCTCAAGTCCGCTTTGCACTAATAACAGATCTGCACAACAAAAATGTCACACTAATATCCTCTAGGGCATTCAGAACTAACAAGTTGTCTTATAATTACAATTGGGTAATTCTGAAAGGTGTGAACCAATCACACCCAAGACGTTACACCACTAATTTTAAATCAAAATCAACACTTGACAGATAGCCTAATGAGCGGCATTGAACATCTTAATTGAGTTTACATAACTCTTAACAGAGCACAAATGGATCTAAGGCAGAGTGCATTTGAGGATAACCATGATGAAAAGAGCACATGTATTTAAAGCAGGGGTGTCAAACTCAGTTCCTGGAGGGCCACAGCCCTGCACAGTTTAGATGCAACCCTAATTAAACACACCTGATCCAGCTAATCAAGTTATTAAGGCTTATTTGAAAACTACATGGTATGTGTGTTGGAGCAGGGTTGGAACTAAACTATGCAGGGCTACGGCCCTCCAGGAACTGAGTTTGACACCCCTGATTTAAAGGATAGAATGGCATTTCATTCATCAGAGCCAAGGTTACGGATGGAAAATGCTTCCACATTTTATGGTTAAAAAGACATTCACCATGAGACAAGCAGACAAACATGATTATTCAGCATGTTCCATGTACAAAGGGATTTGCCACAGGATTACAGATGAATACAATCTACAAAAGACCACCGCCACTGTGGAGGATATGCCATATTTCACAGCATAAGGGATTTACGGTACAGGAAATTAAGACAGCCAATTCAAGCCAAACATACAGTATCGAATGTCCAACACCAAACATCCAGCCACATGTAAAAGTTGGAATTTGTTAAATCTAACAAGCCACACGTTCAGTTGACAGTATAATTTGCTCCATTGGTGGCAACTTGAAAAGTGCCGGACAAGTCTTTTTCTTTTGTGTATTAATGTCTTAATTACAAGACAATGTGTTTGGAAGAATACAAGATTTTAAAAAGCCATACATTTTCAAGCATAAGATGGTAGTTAGCCTATGTTTTGAATAGTTTTTGGATTCTAGCTGGTCTTTAGATGGTCCAAGCACACAGACCATCTTGAAGCAGCAACAAACCAGCTACCAGCTGGTCATAAGAGTTTAAGATGGTCAAGCTGGATTTTGGAAGATGGTTACTGGTCAGCCAGCTAATGACCAGCTTGAACCAGTTAGAAACCAGCTACTATGTTACCAACAGGAACCCTAAGACTATTCAAATTATTAATAACAATAAAACAAGCTTTAGCTAAACTTGAGCAAAACCTTTTCAAATCTGTCAATTACAAATACATTATGAGTCAAGTTACAGTGTCATAAGAAACCAGAAACATAAACTCACTCACAAAAAAAGTAACTACAGTTATTTATCTGCATGACCAATCACAAAACTGGTAATTCCATGCATAGCAATTAAAGTTAAAGCAAAAATAACCATCTAGATTACACCTATAAACCTAAAAAACACAGAATGATGCATGGGATCTTTCAAGCAATACCTCACACATCCTCTGCTTTTTGTCCAGTAGCCCAATCTGAAGGGCAACACCCCCGTAACAGACCCACACACACTCGACGGGCTTCATTGTCTCTCAATAGTTCAGCTTATGCCGAAACGATGCATTTTTTTTCAATGAAACATGGCAGACTCGAAGCCCAGACAATAAAAGATGTGGGATCAAACTGCAGAAGCGTTGCCAATGGAACCCGTAGATAAAAAACAAATAAAATCCAACCAACAAATATCCTCATTAGAAGATTTCATCTCAGGTTACTCATTTACGGCACATCACCTTCTGCATTGTCTATGTCACCAATAAGCAACAATAGAAACAGATTCTGGATACAGCTGGGAGAAACTGTTGTTTGTCTTCAATTAATAATACATATATACGATATGAATCGGTTGTACGCTAGGAAAACGAGATGATAATGGTGATCCTCTCCCCACTTCTTAGTCATCGAAACTGGGTGTGAAACCTTTAGATTGGGTTTGATTTGGAATGTCACTAGAATCAAACGGAACGTCAAGCGTGATACATATAAAACTTGATACATTCTAAAAGCTAAACGTTACACTGTATCAAACTCTGGCATTGTTTCTGGCGGTAAAGGTGTTTTTGTAAACCAGCAGGACAGACCGAGAATACACAGACAGCCTGACTAGGACACCTTTCCTGAAGTCATGCCAAAAACCGAGTTGTTTGTTAGTGAACAAAAGGCCACAAGGAGCAAGGAATGGGAAAAGTGCGCTTACCCAAAGATCCGTTCCCCAGCTCATAGCGAAAAAACTCCAAGAACTGACGTCTCCGCCGCTTAAAACTCCAGGGTTGCTTGTTCTTCCCTCTCTCTGCCGTCGTGTAACTCTCTATACTCCAATGAAGCCAGCAGCGACAACCTCGCGACTCAGGGTTTTCCCATTTCCGACACACAATGCGCCTCTGCCGCGCCGCGGGGAAATGGATGGATGCGTTTGTCCAATAGCGCCTCCTATTCACCAAAGCTTGTAAGTGGAGATATTGAATAACTGCACAACCTGCCTGGAGCACAGAAAAAAATATTTTGTCATTTAGATTTTTTACATTACAATAGAGTGAAATATATATAATATATAAAATATATGTAATACGAAATAATTTACTCGGTAGGCTAAGAAACATAATCATATTGCTATATTAATTTAATATATCTATTATTATATATCAAACATGAACTTTTTTCCTTCACGATCTCTTAATACGTGGCCGTACAATCTGCATGTGAATTTTTACACTAGATTTAAAAAATATATATTTTAGTATCATTGATATACTGATATATACTATACATTCTTTTATATCTATATTTTTTACATTTTTAAGTTTTAGTAATTTTGATGTTTTTGTCATTTTTAGTTCTTGTGTTTTGAAATATATTGTTGTCTACACAGATTTAGTTAATTTTTTATTTCAGTTTTAGTTTTAATTATTTAAATTCAAGTTAAACTAAAAAGTAAAAGTAAAAGTAACTTAAATAATAATAATAAAACTAGAAAATAAACTCTCAAACCAATGTTTCAACAGTTTCTTTATTCATTATTTACATCAAGTGTAACACTGAGGAAGGACTTCACAGTAATATAATATTAAAAGTAAGCTTTAAATTAGAATCACACAAAATATACTTTTTACAAAACAGAAAAAAAATACTGTTAATCTGTCAACCTCTGCCGTTTTAATCCCTGTTAAATTCACATATTCAAAATTAAGTGTTTTATTTTCATTGCACTTGAAGGACTTGAGAGGTGGCCTTTGGTATATAAATTTCTTCAGCACTTGAAATCTGACCTTACAAAAAGAGAGTCTCCCCAAAAAATTATCCAGGATTCAACGTAAAAATTTCATCAATAAATAAACCAAAAATAAATAAAAGAGGCAAACAAAAATGTAAAAGGAAAATAACTTGGGGTAATTAACAGTCACTAACTCTTTTCCCCCTCAGCTGTTTGGTAATGAAACATTTTTAGACATAATAATAAATGGAATAGATGACCTGCATGTGTTTGAAAGAACAAACTGCTAAATCACACATGAAAAATATTTTTTCTCTGTTATTGTGATTATACAAGAGAGGTATTCCTGACAAAGCAAAACAAATTCATGAGCTCTTTCAGTAAAAGGAGACCAGACTTCAAGCACTGTCTTTTTCTAAGTAAAGGACAGATCATTGCACTTTTTCCTATTCAAGTTGGACACCTCACATACTCAGATGTCTGAACAGGGCAGCTTGAATGATAATAAAGGCTTGAAAAATCCCATTTGCCACCTTAAAATTGCTAATGAATATTTTAGCGCAAAACATATTTACATAAACAGATCTTTAACATGACCTTGCAGTGCACAAAACATTAAATCTCTCACAAAAGGCACCATGTAATATCAGAAAACACTGCCCATGGCAGAAAAAAAAATGGCAAAACAAGCTAAGTTAGTGTAGGCAAATTATGCAATGATTTAGAGTACAAAAAATGGTTTTGAACAAACAACATGTATGATTTTCTGTTGCAGTAGAATTGAAATGTCATGGAGATGCATGGCAAAAACAATTTCTCCTTCCAAAATTTCCATACTACATACCCTAGAACAGTGAATTAAGGCAAGGCAATTAACATTTATGCTTTAAAAATGTGCTCCAGTGTAATCGGTACAAATCATCTTCATTACATTTTAATTATGACATTGCAGAGTACCCACAAAAATCTCATTTATGCAAATTCGAATACAAATCTATAATTTTATGAATACAGACTCAGAAAACAACTGTTTATGTCCTGAAGAAAATGTTTCTTTTTAATAAAGTTTGAACTGTGTGAGACTATGGAAAACATATACACGCACGCAAAAAACAAAACAAAAAGACATTCCTGTTTTCAACAAATGAATACATTCATAATGTAGATGCACAGATGGAGACCCTCGCACCAAAATCTCACCACAAGGACACAGGTGAGCATGACCTTCCACGCCTGTTTGTGGGTATAAAATAATATGCAATATCTACAATATCATAAAAACGCCTGTGCTTTTAATTAAAAATAATTTAAAATTCAAGTTTACAAATGGCGACATTCTAAAGTGAAATCAAAATAAAGTTACAAATCAATGTGCTAAGGAAAATGCAGTTTGTGTTAAAAGACGTGGCAATACTTGTATCTCTAGTGTTGCTGCTTCTGTGTTGGCACCATGACGGTCATAAAATAAATTCAGACTTTCCACACATCACATAATAATTCCCCCATAGCAAATCAATAAAATCTAGAAACATATTAAGGATTCTTAAGTGTTGAGAACTCTAGAGTCAGCCTGTAGATTTGTGCCATCTGGCTGATGGGGGCATTATCTAAAGGCCACGGATATAAAAGGCCAAATATGATCCATGTGGTGACAGACCCAACACCATTTCAACTATGCCACAGCAAATTACTGCTAGCAACAATAATGCATGGATCATGTCGAAATAAAGACTAATTACAGAAAGATCTACCAAATTATGAATGGTCATCAAATGCTGTATTGTTTAACAAATGTGGTCAAATAAAAAAAAAATGACAGTATGGGATGTAGACAGAAGCAGTTTATGAGACTGAACAAAGAGCTGTGTTTGCAATCCACATTCAATACTACTGCAGGTTCTGAACAAGCAATATTGTTTGTTCAATTTATGCCAGAAATGTTGGCCATTTTTATGTTTGCATTGACATTCTGATGCAATATCCAGTTACTATGGAAACAATGCAAATGAAATATCGAAAAAGCAAATGGAAATCCACAACTAAAAACAAAATACATGATAAGTGGACCAATTCATTTGTAGTCGGCTCACATTAACCTGTGCAACCCCTGTATATTTGTGAAAAGTGATTCTGTCATACCAAGATAAAACTGTAAGTATTAATTTGTCAAAAACAAAACTGTGTATTTTGGTAGTGACAAAAAGCTTATATACAAAGAACTCTGTTCCCAACTGGCAATTTCAAGGAGAAAGTCACCTGTAAACAATAAAAAGTTAGAGTGAGTGTTTGTAGTCATTTTCTGAGGTACTTCTTAGAGAATACTCTCTGTCCCCCAACACTTAAATAAAACTAAATTGATTCTGATGCAAAAAGTCTCAAGGGGTACAGGAGGAGGAGTTTTGGAGGTGGACACAGTGGCTACCGTTGCACAACATCACTGATCTCTTTAATGCACGTGTGCAAGTTGTCAAGAGCCGGGCTGGTCCCAGATCCCACTCCCCCACCTGTAGAGGAAGCGCGCAGCTCCTGTAGACTCAACTCCAGTTTCCCCACTGCCTCACGAAAGGCAAATTTATTACGTGTCTGGGGGATGCAATCGACATACCCCGAGCAGTAGTCCAAAAGTTGGTGTCCCACATCCAAGACCTGGCTGCTGGAGGAAAGCTCGGTGTTGCCTTGAAGAGCACTACTCAAGAATTCGGCACATTCCAAAAGAGCCTCCTTGCTGATCTTCTCCAGTGGGATTCGTTCTGTCTGCTGCCGAGTCCGTCTAAGCGTGGGTTTGGCGGAAGTAGGGCCAGGTCCGCCACTGGAAGCACCGTTGGCCATCTTAGTTTGGGTGATGTTGTTACTAGAGGGGACTATGGGGGCTGGAGGCACTTGTGGTGGTGGTATTGATGGACGTGCTCCTCTGGCTTCTCTTCCTGATCTTTTGACGCCATCTCCATTGACCTCTATGTTTCCACTGACCGCTTCATCAGCTGCGTCGGCACTGTAGGCATGTTGGAGGGAGCGGAGCATGGGCGGTGGAGGAGGTGCACATTTGGGCTTCACCAGTCGCGGTCGGTCACGATCGCCACTGTCGGACAGCAGTTTAAAGCGGTTGCCCTGAGAGTCCACACCGACTAGGTGTACATCAGCTGAGCTGTGCTTTAGGGTTGGGGAGATCAGCACTGGAACTTTATGGTTGTGCAGATTGACCGAACCAAGAGTGGAGGTTTTCGATGGAGATGACCAGCCTTGCCTGTCATCTTGCCCATCTTTTCCTCGTGTGTTGGAGTCTGAATTTGCCTCTCCCCCTACACCTGGTGCCCTAACTCCACCTGCGACCCCTCGTGGCAAGAGTTTGGCTTTGGGACGATCTCGTATCTGAGCCGTACCTTCATCAAGCTTCCTCAGGATTGCCTCTGAAGGTCGTGCTGCCCCATTCTCTGGTTGTGAGGTGGTGGAAGTTGTACGTTCTAATGGGGGTTTGCTTCGGTTTCTTGGTAACGTCAGCGCCATGCGCTCTAAGTCCGGCAACCCAGCAGACATAGAGGAGGTTGAATTGGAACGAGGGAATGGCTTGGTTCCACTTCCTTCGTCTATTCCAGAAGGCTTACCAGTCCGCAATCCCAGGGTCTTTTTGATAAGGCGAGGGGTAAAGAAGCCCGCAAGGCTTCCCCAACTACTGCTGCTTCCCACTTGACCAGAAGTTGCTCCAGAGTTTGAACTTGAGGGTTTCTGTCCAAACGTGGCCCCACAACAGCGGGACTGCACGTGGTTCCCCTCTCCATGAGATGGAGAAAAATTCAACCCATCAGTTTGGGGCAAAGGAGGAGGCGGGCCTGCAAACCCAGCCGTGGGCTCATACTTTTTATGGGGCTGGGTATCCATCTCCCGGAAAGAGCTGCTCCTCTTGGGAGGCATAGGGAGATTCTGTTGCTGCTGAGGTGAGGATGAAGTAGAAGAGGAAGACATGGACTTCTTCTTCATGAAAGAACTGAAGAAGCCAGCCTTGCGGTCTCGGGTGAAGGTAGTGTCCTGGGAGTCCTCCAGCAGGCTAGAGGGAGACTTATCCCTTTGTTTACGTGGTAGGGCAGGAGAGCTGCTGGAGCGTCCATCACCCACAAAAAGGGATGCTGCAAGACCTGAACGCAATAGGACAACAGAACCAAAAGTCAAAGAACAGAAAAATTAGTGGTAGCAGTAGACATGCAAACTAAAACTTCAGTGCTCTCATATTTAAACAGCTGGAACACTTGCTTACATCATTATTATTTGCACAAATAGCATATTTTGCGAGACTGTGATTGCTTGGCTATAAAATGAATATTTAATTTATTGCATTGTTACCAATAGTGGTGTCTCAAGCAAAGGTCTGGTGTAAATGAAGGCTGTGGGCTGGTATTAGATAACACTGCTGCTAACCCTGACTGTAATTTATAAGAAATAGCCTGGTATATGCTTTTATACAAGAAACTGTGTAGTGTCTCTATGAGCTACTGCTACTGCTTGCTGTCATAATTTAAACATGAAAGGACATGACACATCTCTTTAATTGATGGGGCAATTTTTTTTATGAGTGGACCAATATATTTTTTATGTATTTTTTTACAGGTCCTGTGGCAAACAGGATGTCTAGATATTTGCATTACATAGAGAGTATCACTTGATAAGTGGGGAAAAGTAAGATTGTCAGGACAATCAAAGGCAGGACAATAAAGATACAGGAATACAAAACAAGAAATGTATAAACGTTAAAAATAAACTTTTTGCATGCTTGAAAGGTTTAATAACATGACAAAAAGATGCATCTCAAACAAAAAATAAATATAAACATTTCCAACTTAAGTTTATTTTATATAAACTTTATGTAATTTTAATAAATAGCATATAAATAGTTTAAGTAGAAAAACAATATTGCACAATACATGAAAAATGCTTAAATTTTAATCAAAATATAGATGCACATGCAGTTGGTTGAAGTGCTTGTGTGCATACAAGGGTTTAGTGACATGTAGCAAATGGGAGAAATAGAATTAAATCAGATGTATTTACAAAAAGGTCATTAAAACATGAACATATCAGTTTTCTGATCACAATACATTTTAAACATTAAACACATAAACATGAGAACAAAAGAAAAGGATATACAGTGGGTACGGAAAGTATTCAGACCCCCTTAAATTTTTCACTCTTTGTTATATTGCAGCCATTTGCTAAAATCATTTAAGTTAATTTTTTTTCCTCATTAATGTACACACAGCACCCCATATTGACAGAAAAACACAGAATTGTTGACATCTTTGCAGATTTATTAAAAAAGAAAAACTGAAAAATGCTCAGTATTTAGTAGAAGCACCCATTTGATCTAATACAGCCATGAGTCTTTTTGGGAAAGATCCAACAAGTTTTTCACACCTGGATTTGGCGATCCTCTGCCATACACACACACACACACACACAGGGTGGGTGAAAATTAACTAGGCAATATTTAATGGCTATAGAACTTGTAGTATCACTGGAGTCATGATGAAAACAGTTTCTAAATAGACAATAGTAAATTGGATTTTATTTCCCGTGTCGATAGTACAGGCATCGGCTGTGAGAGGCAGCCCATGCAACGTAAACAAAGATGGCTGACCGCTTGACTGTTCAGGAAACTGAGGAAAACCGTTTGAGGAAACTGGTTGATGCCACCGGTGCCTACATTGACATTTAAAGATTTGCTTTCATTTTCCTATGTAATAAAGTACATGTACAATTTGTTTCAATAAATTTTTATTAGAAATATGGACTTTATTACCAATTTTTAATGCCTAGTTACTTTTCACCCACCCTGTATATATATATATATGATACACAGAATTTTCTTAATCATGCTATATTTGTGTATATATATTGGTAGGGTTATATACTATGTAGCTCTGTTAATCAATAATGAACACCACTCCCATTCTCTTGAGCTTCTGTCTGAGCCGGAGTTGAGCCTGTATACCTGCAGGGCCGTGGGGTCCTGCCTCCTCCATATTCTCTTTGTTCTCAGAGTGTTTCTTCTGCCCACGAGACTTTGAGGGCAAGAGTGGCATATCGTGGCCAAAGGTGTGCGCGAGCCCACCTTGCCCACCAGATGCGGTTTTACACAGCTCTTCGGCGACCTCTGGAGAGGAGTTAGCAGAAAGAAGGCACATGTTAATACTATGTTTTACATCTAAGTACTGTGAGTCATATCTTCAACTTTATTTCAGTCCATTTTCAATGGTAAATTACCATAAATGCATTTCTATATTAAATTCAATACAAGCTGCACTTATGTTATTTATTCTTTGTTTCCTTTTAAGCCTGTTTAAGACTGTATATTGTGCATTAAGTTTCCTCTGCTTAGTCATTAAGTATATAAGATATGCATAAAAAGTCAGCTTGGTTTACGGCTTCCTCTGTCACTCAAAACAGATGATGCAATAATACCTTCTGAGATGCTTGAGTCATGGAACATGGTCTCAAAGGCCTGGTGAATCTCAGCAAATGAGGGTCTATCTAGTGGACTCCACTGCCAACCTACCAACACACAAACAAAATATCGCTTTACGTTAAACCTACTCTACGGTTAAAAAGTTTAGGGTCATGTAAGACTTTTTTGAAAAGACGCAATGATACGTTAAATTGCTCACAAGTGACAGTAAAAGTTACAAAATTAATGTTACAAAAGATTTCTATTTCAAACAAATGCTGTTCTTTAAAAAATTATATTTATCAATGAATCCTGAAAAATTGTGTCCCGGTTTCCACAATTTTAAGCAGCATATTAGAATGATTTCTTAAATGATCATGTGACACTGAATTCTGAAGTAATGGCTGTTGAAAATTAAGCTTTGCCATCAAAGGAATAAATTAAATTTTAAATATATCAAAATAGAAATAATATTAATAATATTTCACAACATTGCACAATGCTTATAGAATATGTATGAACATATATGAATGATACATGACATTATTTGAATATACACTAATGAGATTATACTTTTTTTATGTTATTAAGTAAAAGCTATGAAGTGTTTTTAAAGTCACTGCTGATACTCACAGGCTCTCATGAGCTCATAGACTTTAGGAGGACAGCCCTCGGGCTGCTCCATGCGGTAGCCCTTCTCCAGCAGATCGTACACCTGAGACAGGTCGATTCCTGGGTATGGAGACATGCCATATGTGGCAATCTCCCAAAGCAAAACTCCAAATGCTGTAAAATTGGGGAAAATAAGCAAGTCACTTATTTATAAGCAAATCGACCATTTTTGTCTCTAACACATAAGTCTTTATGGAGTATCAGAACTTTCAACACAATTCTTATGACAAAATGAAATTAGTAACTGACCCCACACATCTGATTTGATGGAGAAGGTGTTATAGGCCAGACTCTCTGGTGCTGTCCATTTGATGGGGAATTTGGCCCCCGCATGAGCGGTGTAGGTGTCGCCTGTCATCAGCCGGCTCAGGCCGAAATCAGCCACCTTGACCACGTGATTCTCTCCAACCAGACAATTACGAGCTGCCAAGTCCCTGAGAAAGAAATTGAGAAGATGGAGTGAGATCTCTCAGTGGGATATAAGACTATGTAACCAATGAGCTACGCTACCTGTGGATGAAGTTCTTCTTCTCCAGATACTCCATGGCAGAGGAGATCTGAGTGGCCATGTACAGCAAAACCACAGCATTCACCTGCTCCCTGTCACACTCACGCAGGTAGTCCAGCAGGTTTCCATGTGGCATGTACTCGGTCACTATGTAGAATGGAGGCTCCAATGTACACACACCTAGAAAGTGGCAACAAAACAAATGACCAATTTAGGACAAATCCAGAAACATAATTTGATCAAAACAAATAATTGTTGTTTATTATGTGAACAAAACCCGGGATTTCTATAGTGGAATCATGAGGATAATGCATACTCTCTAATGGTTGATTAATATAGTCGACAAGTTTCTTGAGATTTTTTTCTAAACCGTCTAGACAAGGACAACTCTTATTGGGTCAATTGAACCGAAACCAGTTAAAGCATAAATGTGATCCTAGACCACAAAACCAGTCATAAGGGTCTTTTTTTTTTTTTTAGATTTATACATCATCTGCAAGCTGAATAAATAAATAGCTTTTCATTGATGTACAGTTTGTTAGGATAGGACAATATTTGGCCAAGATACAACTATTTGAAAATCTGGAATCTGAGGGTGCAAAAAAAATCTAAATATTGAGAAAATCGCCTTTAAAGTTGTCCAAAAGAAGTTCTTAGCAATGCATATTACTAATCACAAATTAAGTTTTGATATATTTACGTTAGGAAATTTACAAAATATCTTCATGGAACATGATCTTTACTTAATATCCTAATGATTTTTGGCATAAAAGAAAAATCAATCATTTTCACCCATACAATGTATTGTTGGCTATTGCTACAAATATACCCGTGCTACTTATGACTGGTTTTGTGATCCAGGGTCACATATAGCTTCAAATTTGGAGTTGTTGGCTAATTGTTCAGGCAATATGTCAACTAGTTAAAAAAAAATCCTAGTACACTCACCCAGCAATTGTACCAAATTGGGATGTTTCACCTCCTTCATGACTGCAGCTTCCTTCAAAAACTCCTCAACCTCCATGGTGTCCTCCTTTGGAATAAAGTAATAGAATATACATGGAATATGAAATAATACATAACAGAACTAGCAAAACAACTACAAAAACAGAAATCCATGGGTGCAATAAAATGACCAGCCACTTGGTGGCACACAATGCCACAGTTCAATGCGATAACCCAATGAAATAGGGGGAAAATATTGAAATAGAAGCGTAGGCACAAAAACACGAACCTTTAGTGTTTTTACAGCTACAGTGAGGTTGTACTTTTTCCAAACTCCGACGTATACCTCTCCGTACTGGCCACCGCCTAACTTGTGCTTCATGGTGATGTCGGTGCGCTCCATCTCCCACTTGTCGTGGATGGGGGAGACGCCGTAGACGGTTGGCTTGTTGCATTTTGGGGCAGGATAGTGTAATGTGGTTACCAGACCATCTGCCACTGTGGAATGATGATGAACCAGCTCAGCTAATGTGCTGAAACGACTTTCAGCTGTTACGTAGACCTGAGGCAGAAGAGAAGGAGACCAACTTTAAAATCAAAGGAAAGGGAGCTTTACTTTCAAAGTAAAGTGAAAGCAGCCCAACCTTTCCGTCAGAGGCGGTGTTAATCCGGTAATGATAGACCCGTCCCTCATAGCGAAGCGAGATGGAGAGCTGGCCAGGGCTGCTCTCACTCTCCCTCACTAGGAAGCTGCCGTTGATCAGGCTGCTGAGCAGGTACTCAGCGGCGCTGCGGGACACAGGCCCATGATACCAGCTGTGCTTTTCCAGACTGTTCACGGGGGTGATGTAGTTACTGGGTACCCAACCCTGGCCATTCTTCGAACGGACTTCACTCCACTCGCCATTCTGGTTGTACCCCAACACTCGCAGCTTCTCTCCTGAAATGCAAAAAAGAACAGAACATTGTACAAAGCAATCACTTAATATTCAGATTTTCTCACATTTTTGTGCACAAAGTTTTCCTAATGATTCAGCAATGTAATCCCTTGTTATTCATTCCAATGCATCTCCCTTGAATGGAATGGAATGTGAGATTAGAAATGCAAGCCACAACAAGTCCATCATTCAGCTATAAAAGCACGTCAGGTCTTTCAGAAAGGCAAAGTGCACGTTTATGTAAGTAACTACAGTATTAATTCATAAATAAGATCAGTTTGATCTTGTCCATTAGGTAATGTTTTCATCCCATAAAAGAAGAACCTAGAGTCTTATATAAGAGTTCTGAGATCTGAACAAATAACGAAGGCACCTGAGAGTGGAGGAAGAAAAGTGACAATCATGACAATCAAATATATCAACTGAGTATTCGATGTAATGTGCTGTTTTTTTTATTTCTGCAAATGCGTGTCAGACGGACATCTCTGGCAGCTGCATCACGCTCCATGAACGTCACATTTTTAAGACGCCATGGAAGTTAAAAATAGTTTTTTTTTTTTTTTTACAAGATATGCCTCCAAAAAGCACTTTTGAGAACATCCCACGAGCCTTGTGTTCGGTTCAATTAAGCTGTGCTCCATCAAGCTGTTGGAAAAAAAGAACGCTCCAAACCCTCTGCAGAGTGTTAAATCTGTGTGTACACTGTGCACAGTCAAAATCAATGTTGTAACCAATTACCAAAATAAAAATAAGGCCACTTTTTGGCATGTTTGTGTATTTCTTTTGCTGAATTTTGATTGAATTTTTTTTTAAATAAAATGCATGTAAATTTATTTGTATTCATATACGCTACTGTTCAAAAGTTGTGGTTGGTAAGACTTTTTTAATGTTTTTGATGTTATCTTGTGCTCACCAAGGTTGCATTTATTTGACAAAAAAAACCTTTCTATTTTAATATATTTTAAAAATGTAATTCATTTCTGTGATGTTGGGAAAGCTGAATTTTTATATTTTTGTGGAAATTGTGATGCATTTTTCAGAATTCTATGATAAATCAAAATTTCAAAAGAATTTATTTTAAATAGAAATCTTTTGTGACTGTCACTTTTGATCATTTTAATGCATCCTTCCTGAAAATAATAAAAAATAGTAATTGCTTTAAGAAATCTTACTGCCCCCAAACTTTTGAATGGTCGTTTGAATGATACATTTTGTTTAATTTCCTCCTCTTCCTCCGTCTTGCTTTGATCAAGCATAGGTCCAGCAGAGGGTGCTCTCCTCCTGCCAAGGAGACACAGTTCAGGCCTGCTAGCTTTCAGACACCAAGTGCTTTTTTGCCAATCCTAAATCAACACTGGCGCGGCAACAAGGCCCTCGCGACAAGACAAGAAGAGGCTGGTGCATTGGTGCCAACCAGACGACATTACATTACCGGCCATTAGTGGGTACTGCAGAGGGAAAGAGCAGACTGCTAACTCCCTCTCTCTGAACTCTCTTCTCTTGGGCTAGTCTGTGTTTACCCACCTGCTTTTCACCCAGCTGATGGGATTACACTTCAAAATGGGCATTAGCGTTAGCGGTAGCTGTTTCAGCGTGGAGCATCTGAGCACAGAACCGCCTGACTCGTGTCCCAAAGTCTATGGAAAGAGCTGTGGGCGTTAGCACATATGGCTCAGGTTGGTACCCATGTGTTTATGCTCCTCAAAGTTTAGCATCCGCTTTCATATTTAGCTTGGTTCTTTGATCCTACAAACTGCTACTGGGAAGAGGAACAAGTAGTTCTGAAGTATAGCAAAGAGGAAGGAGAGTGATGGAAGGAAAAGGAAAGATGCATGGTGGCCTTGTTATAAAGAAAGAGGAAGTTATCCATAACAGTTGTGAAAACATTCTTCAGCTTTGTTTTTTCCAGGTATTAAAATTGGTCTTGGGTTTCACTTGAGTTTACACTATCAATGCAATGTGGTTTGTCATCTGTGTACAGAGGTGGAGATCAAACTGTTCAAGTTTTCAGTGAAACTAAGCACCGCATGTTGCGCAACCGCTCATCTCCTTTCGACGATCATACCTTTCGTGATGCTCAGTGTGTTGTCACCACTGGCAACAAAGTCGTAAAGTGCAACGAAGAGGTTGGGGTCACTCTCAGCCGCACCCAGCAGATTCTCCTTCGAGCTCCAGCGCACCGCCTCTGTCAGAGACGTCGAGTCCAGTCCAAACGGCCTGTGCAGGGCCTCTGTGAGGAAGAAAGAGAGATAAATAACATGCTATATGAGTAAACATAAGCAGTTGTTGATGGAGCATATGACATCTCAAATGAGACCAGGCTTCTGGGAAGGGCAAAATGAGTCAGTGTATGAAGGGAGGGCTTTCAGGAGTTGCCGAACACGTTAACGTCAAGGTGGGGAGGGAGAAGAAAAGTTAAGAAAATGCAACCATTTGACGCAAAATGAAAACAAGGAGGGTGATTTAAAATGAAATCACTTTGCTCATGTCATACCTCACTTTACAATGTGAAACTCTTTTTTTTGCAAAACAATATTACGAAGGCTAGACAACACTGCAATAAAGCATTATTTACAAAAAACTAAATACAAATGCAATAAATGCAGCAGACTGAAATGTATTAAATATTTTCTGAATACTAATAAAAGTAGAAAATTTATTTTACTATACATTACAACTATATTCATATACATTTAGTATTGATCAAAAAAATTTTTTTTTGTAATTCCTAAAAAAATTCAAATGCTTCATTTGTGAAAAGCAGATGAACACTGGAAGGAGCAAACCATTTGACCAAGTAACAGCTTCCACATTGAACACACACACACAAATAACAAATGCACATCCCTCGACCTGAAATCCTCCACAAAAGAAAAAATCACTGCCACTCAGGGCACCGTTATAGCGTTGTCTACCTGCGAAGCAATAGTGGTCCACATCCTGTGGGTTGGACAGGTTTGTCAGCCTGACCCTTTCTTCCTCAAAACTGCTGCTGGACAGCAGGGTCCTTAATGGCATAATCTTGCAGTGCTAAATTAGTCTCTGATCTCATATGTACTAAAACACAGACCTGATGTGTTGAGGGTTCTGCTTCTGTCTGAGAGGGTTTGATTCTTAAGAAACTTCTTAAGGAGAGGAGGAGCATGAAATGGCTTTGAGGTTGGAAAAATGGTGTGGGAGAGTCCCCACGCCTTGAGCATGCCTGCGTCTGCTGGTCTTCCTCTACAGCTGTCAACCAGCCACAAACACACACACCAAGCATGTCTGGGCAGCTGCCCCTTTCCTTAGGGAAAAGTGTGGCAGGACAAAACAGTTAGAAATGAAAAGGCATCAGAAACTCCCTTTACTGATCATTATGAAACAAATTCTGGCACTGAGATTAGGCTACAATAGGTTTACCTTTACAAAATTACTGTGGCGTTACCATAGTAGAGGGGCTGAATCAAATAGTAATACCATGGAATTGGCACATGATTAACACATTCACATCCCAAGGTACATTAAAAAAATTACTAAATTAAGTTAAATTATTCATCCTCAACATGGATCACCAACAAAAAGTCCATCATGACACAAAATATCTACAATAGATGGGTCACAATGGGTGACTAGTTGTTCAACAAACAACTAGATGCACTAAAATAAAAAAAGAAATCAATCAATCAAAATCAATAATGTTATACTAAGTTCTATTTCAATTTCATATAAATGCTTTCTTTTAAACTTTCTAATCAAAGAAAACAGCTACTTTACATTGTAATAATATTTCACAATATAAGTTTTACTGTATTTTTGATCAAATAAATGCAGCCTTGATGTGCATAAGAGACTCACTTTAAAAACATTAGAAATCTTTCCAACTCCAAACTTTTGAATGGTAGTGCATATGCTAAAAATCACAATATAATAATTGAAAGCATTATATTACCAACCAAATATTCATTTACAGATTACAGTCAACAGTGTTACTGAATTATTAGTGTACAACAGTAACAAAAATATCGGCAATAACCAATAGTCTAAATTTTAAAAACACATCTGCATTTTATACCATTTGTTGTTAAATAAGAGAATGTGTCTTATGTAAACGCTAACGAAGAAACTCATTCAATCAGGTCATGTAAACCCAAAGCTACCAGTTAAGATGGATTAGTAAATTAGTTGTTTGAGCAACCCATCAACTAGTTGATTTTTAAAATATGTCGTTTTGAACATCCCTAAAAAAAAACACAAAACTCCTAGTGTTGTTGACACATGTAGATTCATCCACAGAAATAACATAGCAGATTAGACTCAACGAAATAAATAACCCTTAAAAATAATATTAGGGCAAAATGTAATCAATGGTTCAACAAGTCTAAAAATGTCCCTATAAATTAAACACGAAACAATCATTATGAATAAAAGACACAACATAGCCAAGACAAAACAAAGACTGGTCTTACACAACTTAATAAACCTGCAAGAACACGCAGCTGAGACAGTCAAGGCCTGTGTGGCAAACCTGACTTTGCCACACAAAGACACACACGCAAACAGATACATACAGCCCTACCTTTATTCCTGACCAGCATGCAGTGCTTCCCAGTCCTAGTCAGCTGACTGATCCACAGCTCCCAGTACATGATCCCAGTTCTAGTATAAGGGCTAATGGGAAACCACTCTAGCCCCTAATCCTCAGACTACGGGTTTAATTCACACTACAACACTCAGTCGAAAATCTGCAACGCTCCTCTTGGTTGAATCATTTCAGAGTCTCCGGTGCAGCTCAGAGCTCAGAGTTTCCAACCCCGCAGCCGGAATGCCAGTGCGACTTGATTGTGGGCCTCCATGCCAACTGCCCTGAGTAAGAAATGTCCACATGTGCTTGTGTGAGATATGGGAAGAGTGGAGTTCTGAGGGTGGTTTTATTGGATGTCTTGTGAGGGGAGGCATGTGGGGGGCCCGTTGGTTTTAGAAGGGGGTAGGAACGAGCAGATGGTTCCATTTCTACACCATGTGTGCTGCCTACCAAACATCCTCTTGGGAGAGGCTGGAAAAGCATGGAGGTGCGGAAACTCTAGTGCAAAATGCCTGTGCCACATTAAACGTACCCCTGAGTTTCACAGCAACATGTAAAATGTATTAAGATGGGACGCTTAGTTATTCAGTTACACCCAAAACCTCTCAACAATAATCAAAGACATCAGCACACAAGACCTCAACAGACTAGATGACATGAAATAAAAGGATTCTATGAACATAAAAGAAAAAGAGATTCAAGTCTCAATTCTAGACTACATAGGCCAGACAGACAGGCAGACGTAATAACAGACACCGACAGATGTAATGACAGACATACAAGATAGATATTGACAGACAGACAAACAGATAAAATGACAGATATTGACTGACAGACAGACAGAGACACAGACAGACAGACAGACAGACAGATAGCAGAGGTTGCGTAAGACTTTAACATTGTCCATCATTTTGACGGACAGGGTCGTAAAAATTCCGTCATAATCTGTTATTACCCCGTCATTTTACTTTTCATATTTTAATTATAATAACATTTAATTGCCTGTATTTTTGTTCACATTTTCATTTTTAATAATGAACCTGCAGGACGAGCATATAGGCTTATGCATTTATTTATTTATGAAGAGAACAGATGAACAGAGACTGTGCGTCACTTTTCATGTTCAACACCGCAGTGACAGCGGAGGCAACTAAAAACAACAAAATATACTAGGGCTGGGGAAAAAAATAGATTTCTCAATTTTAATAGATTCTAATTTTTATGAATCAATTGATGAATTCAGTTGATGAGTGAACCGTATATATAGTGCGCCTCCCATCCAGTAAATCGCAATAGGCTAAGCTTTGTGCGTTGTTACTTTTGATATGAAAAAGTCTCAGATTTCAAATTCTGCCCATTTTTTTAGGAAATTCACGCAATAAATACCATTTTGGCGCTCTTTAATGTGGCGCGTTAGATCGCTGTAGACACCACAGATCAAGCGAAGCGGAACTGATCATCTCTTTCACTTTACTAGTGGGTAGCTGTGCTTAATCAACGGCATCAGGGTTGCCAGGTTTTCACAACAAACCCGCCCAACTGCTACTCAAAACTAGCCCAATCACGTTTCGAGGGGGGTTCCTCCGGTAAAATTCGCATTCCAGGAGCTAAATATCATGTTATTGGGGACACTTCAACCCGCGGACATTACAGATTTTTCCGTCACTGCTGAAAAAAATTCCGTCAATGACGGAAATTTTTCTGTTAACCCTTTGATGCACAAGCTATGAAAACCCTTTCTAATGCACAACATGGGTCTAAAATGACCCGTATTCATTTCCTGTTATTTCATACTTCGCTGGGCATTTTTTTTGTTTTATCTTTTGAAATCAGTTTATTTCCGCATTTAATATTCCCTGATCTATAAATTCCATGACCCATGAATATTCAAAATATATTTTTACAATGACCACGAACTAATATTTTATTTTTTTCCGAGGTTTTTTGTTACTACATCAAGTTTACACACATGGGTCAAAAATGAGCATGATAAAACAAAAGAATAAAGACATTTTGTTAAAATAATTATTTTAGCAGTTATTTAGACCAGCACATTTAACACTTGAAATGTGTTTATTTGCCACTTTGTCACACATAACATACACATATCACTGATAACCAATAACACTGAAATGGAACTGTCTGTAGTGCAACTGTAGTGAACTGTAGTAAATGTGACCCCAATAGATGAAAATAAAACTAACAAAATAAAATCACACCATCTCAAATTGCCATCCCAGTGCTTACATGCCCCACAAATGACGACGACAGGCTTGTGCTCCTTGCAAACAGGCCTGACACTGGGAACACTAGCTGCTGACTTGTCTGTCTTTGGCAGCTGGGCAGATCCTGCACCTCTTCCTCTTCTATTGACCCTCCTGCCTGATGTACCTGTGGCCGGGTGGTGAATGTGTTTTGTTTTTTATCCCACATCTTCCCATTGCCTCTGTAATATGGTTTTGAATGTGCTGTGTGCCCTTCAAATACCTCTTCATATGTGGCATGACAAGATCTTTGACCAGCTCCTTGATGAATAGCTATCATGCATTGGTCAAACCAGCCATGTAATCATGGTGTTGCGTAGTGAAGTTGGTGTAGGCCAGGGGTGGCCAACGTCTGTCCTGGAGAGCCACAGTCCTGCAGAGTTTTGCTCCAACCTTGATAAAAACTCACCTGCCTGTTGCTTTCTAGTAAGACTAAAAACTTTCTGAGTAAGGGTGTATTCACACCTGTCTTGTTTGGTTCGATTGAATCGAACTCAAGTTCGTTTCCCCTCTTGGTGCGGACCTTTTTGGCAGGTGTGAATACAGCAATCGCACTCGGGTGCAGACCAAACAACCGCACCGAGACCCAGCTGAAGAGGTGGTCTCGGGACACTACTAAACG